GCAGGATTCACTAGTGATGTTGTTATCGACAAAGTATATCGCAGCATACGGACGAAAGCTTCCTGTGACTAAAGTTTAGCTGCTCTTCGCCGAGACAAGCAGCAAGGTGGTCATTTGTCATTTTGATTGTAGCTCTTAGTGAGTCAGATTCAGTAAGAAAGCATTTTTTCCAATCACATCGTGGTTGCACTCTCTGTTGCACGTTTGGCGGGTATTTATACAGTATTGAGGAATGGGTGTCATGAGACTTCAAATCTCCAAAAGTGGAGGACTTCGCGTGATTTCATCATCCTCCTAAACCCAAACCCAGACCTTCCTGGACATTAGTCATAGGGTGAGCGAGGTTTAGTCATGCCACTAATGATATGAGTGGCTCCGAGACGGCTAGTGGAAGAACGGGGCCAAGAACCCAGCGTATGCCATGAAAACGGTACCAGCTTTGCTTTGAAGGCAGATTTTCTCCAACGGAGAATGGGTACACTGCCGGCTAGTGGTGGTGTCTCCTATAAATATACTCAGTTTACATTCTACCTTAAATAGGTCACTTCGCTCCCTTTCGATATAAGGGGACCTGTGAACTGCCGTTCACTGAGAGTTTGCATACTCTCGGAAGCTGACTTCCTCTAGCGCAAGGTGCTGTGTGACCCCGTCACAGCCAGAGCTTTTGCACTTAGACTTGCACATTTGAGAACCCTAAAAATTGTGTGGCCTCTTCAATTTTTGTAATTTTGGAATTATAGTTTAAGTCAGAAAGACAGGTGCGGTCCGTAAGCTGGGACCCAAATGTATTGAAAAGGCTGAGTGTAGCCATACAAAGAGGTAGGAAAAAGCAGCAAGTTTTTTTTACAATACTGCTAGTACTGTAGTAAGTCTGAATGAGGCCCCATCGGGTTTCGACAGGGACTAATCTCGACTAGTAGGCTTGAATAAATGTTTTCTGGCAGGTTACAATACAGCTTCATCGTACAAGTTTAGCAATGTATTTTGTCTTCATCTTTGGTGGATGGGTCAGCCTACAATATTTTTTTTTGTGAAAAGGAAGCTGCTTTTAAAAACTGCTTTAAATGAGCACTCAAACGATCCGAAACTGTTATGACAGGGTAAACGAAATTGCTGGATTATCTCGGGACTCTGGATAAAATCCAGAGAACATCCCCTTCTTTTCCCGCGTGCAACCTTATCTCATTCCAGAATCAGCGGCTCGAGGAACTATGGTTACTTTGTACTGTGTCGTTGTTGGTGTGGCTGGGAGCGCGTTCCCTGTGGACATTGACGAGAACAAGTCGGTGGGGCACTTGAAGAAAGCGATCAAGGAGGAGAAAATGTACCAGTTTCCTGCCGATGAGCTGAAGCTCTTCCTGGCGAAGGCGGGGGGCAACGCATGGCTATCGAGCCTCACTGAAGAAGTGAAGAAGCTGAAAAAGGGCGAGAAGACTGCTCTCGTCAAATCTATAACGCAAGAAGAAAAGGAGCTGCAGGGAGAGGATCCGATTTCTGAGTGTCTGGAAGGCATGGATCCCCCGAAAGTGAAACAGATTCACGTGCTGGTGGCGTTGCCTCCTGGGACAAGTAGTGCGCCTATTTCTGATGGGACGGACTTGTGGCTGTCGAAATTTCAACATAGTGAAGTTGCAAAACTTACGCTACTGCCGACACGCGGAGATCTAAATGAATTTATCGGACAACCTCTCCCTGTAAAGATTGGGTTACCGCAGTCTGTGTTTCAAGCTTGGTCGAGTCCATTGATACTAGGCCAACTCCTTCGAGATAAATTGTTCGAGCTAAACGACATTTCGCCGTGCGAATTTTTAAAAGATTCGGTGTTTAGCGCTGCGTTCCTGTACCCGCAGGTGGATGGGGATGCCACAGAGAGTGCATTTCATTATTTCTGGGATTCAATTATCCGTGTGGTGCTCGGGTTTGTGTTTAGGCGTGCTTACGTCAACTACCGAGAAATAAATATTTGCTCCTTTTAAGACTGAACCATGGTCGAGGAGACGTTAAAGAAGCAGAGATATAAGAGAGGCCCCATATACCTGCTGCAGATATTTCGGAGGAGCGCACCCAATTAGCTCATTATTTCATGATATGTATCTAGAAGTTGTAACCCTTTAACTACTGACCCTTTGCTACGGGACCTCTACCATAAATCAATACAAATCGTCATTGTTGCGCTCATTTGCTAACATTTGCTGAGAAATTTTGAGGTAGAGGTCCATATGACCCCCTACCATTTAACGTCAGCTTCTACAAAGCATTTGACTTTATTATACCCAATTGCGGCTTAGAAAGTTTATGGTAGAGGTCTGTCCGGATATCTACGAAGGGCGAATCCGTCTATTGCTAAAGACTAAATGCCTTAAACCAGGACCAGTAAAGAGTAGCTAAAACGAATATATGGACCTGACTAGCTCATGAACCAGCGTGTTTTTTGTCTATTCCAATCATCCTAATTTTGCTTCGGGGGCCTGTTATTGTCGCTAACCCAGAAAATAAATAGCACATTAGTTCATTAGTTCAGCTCAAACTGTAGGATAGAAAATCAAATACGGAATAACAATGAGTGAGGCCAACGAATTGCTCATCTCCAGGATGACTTCTTGAGTAGCAAGACTTTAGACTGTGTTGCTGTGTTCTGCCTACCAACGCAGCTACTGCTAGCGGGCTACATCTGCGTAGCATCTGGTCCTCGTCAGCATTGTTGTGGCAAGGCAGATCGTCAAGAGTCAAACGACGCCGCATTCGTTTGCGGCGGCGATATCTCTCTTGATAGAGTCGACGATTCTTTGCCTTTCCCTCTCAATCGCAAGTAGAGGGTGTGCTTGCTGTACAAAAATCTTCCTCGGTGCCCTCACAGGGGGAGAAGTGGATAGGGGAAGTTTGCGGTGCTTGATACCAGACCTAAACACATCGTCGTACGTGGTGTCGCGCGGGGGGAGGGGGCTCGTTTCACACATACATCTCATTTTTTTCTTCTACACCCAGCATTTTTTTTTCGCAGTGACCAGACAGAGAGAAACGGCAGAGTGTGGAGTATTCATTCACCTTCAAAAACCAAAATACACACAAAAGTTGGGGGCACGCGGGGGGGGGTGAGAGGACATTCCTCTTCCTTACCAGACTTTTAGTTCCCCT